CTTTTCCAATAGCTCAAAATTGTCTGTAAGAATATGCGATTGATTTTGTATATCTCCACACCAAGTTCCAGTATTCTACCATGAACATTTCCAGAGATATGCAGTATGAAAAATTCGGTTTGTATAGGAGGTGCCACGCCCATTTTCCAATAACTCCAGTTTTTCTCCATGAGTATGTGATTGCTTTCATATATTTCCGTAACAAGTTCAAAAATTTTCCATTTTCCAGTATGAAAAATTCGGTTTGTACAGGAGGTTCCATGCTTTTTTTATATATCGAGATTTTTGTTAGCCNGAAGAGCCTGCCTGAAACTATACAAAAAAGCAAATAAGCAAATGGATGTATAGAATTGACAACAACAACCACGCTGTCGAGTTTAAATAGCGGCAAATCAGCTGCACTTGATAGTAGTTGGTTGAATAAGGAAAATGAATTAGCTACAAGAGTTTACGGGATGTACATAGCTCAGTGGTTAACGCTTCTGACTTTGAACATCGAATACGCAGGTTCGATCCCTGCTGAAGTCTAGAAAAAAGAAGTCTGATGAGGAGATGTGGTGATCTCCGAAATAGTGCTATAACTTCTACCGCTTAGACTTTGTTGCTTTTTCAATTTTTCCTAATAAACAATCGTGGTACAAAGCTCAATAAAAATATTAAAAATTGTATTTCTCTTTTTTCATTAGAAATCTATATCTTAAGTGATGAATTTAGAACTGGTTCGGAATTATAGAAAAAGGGACGCAAAACGAACTAGATCATATCTGTCGAATTTAGAACTAGTTCGAAACTATCGAAAAGGGATGCAGCGGGGGGCTTGTTTACTTTACATAGATAGGCGGCTTTTTCGTTCAAATGCACTTTCACTCTGCACTTCGCAGATGCTATTTCATTGTTTGGTAATACAAAACAAAACTTTGTGTTAACGTATTAACATCTTGGGCCGTCTGGAATCTAACCAATAACAGCGAGCACCACTGCAAACTCAGCTACAGCCAAAGGTATGTAAATGTACATTTCTTACAATCATTCAAACAAATTTAATTTCAAATTGAAAAAACGTTTCTTTGAAAATAATGTAAAATCGCACACGGAAGAACCGAAAATATTGAAAAATCATGATACTTTTATAAATATGCATATACAAATGTAAGTGCTAACAGCAATGTTAATTGCTCCTTGTGCATACATATGTTTGTAATTGCCTACATAATTTATCCATGAACTGTACATACATATTTGTGTTTTTTTTTAAACATAAGAAAAGAAAAAACGGCTTTCAAAATATATATTAGTATAAATTAATAACTATTCTGTAATTTTCGTTAGAAACGAGTTCAAAATTTCCTTATGCATTTCATAAGCAACTAAAAGTTTACAACAGAACTTTTATTTAGTGGCGCCAGGCATGGCAGCCGTTTTTGACGGAAGTTTGGTACTCTCAAAATGTATGTGCACATCAGGGATGTTGCGGATATTTGCATTCGCATTCGTTATGCGAATGATTTGCATCATTTTACAAATTCGCATTCGACATTCGCATTCGCATCAAATGATTCGAGTATTTTGCGAATGTGCACATGGGCAAAGAGTCTGCTCTAATATTGCTGAAATGGCTCTAAGTCTGTCTAACCAGAGTGCGGACAATAACCAGCTTTTAGCTTCATGCGCTAAACGGTTAAGTAGTATAGCAAGCAACATTGATGGACCTTCAACAAATACTGCTAAAAGTCGTATAAGCAACCTAGAAATAATTTTAGATTAAAAAATGTGAAATTAAAGCTCAGTTGAAGGTCTATCTTAAAGAAATCCGGTAATTTCGGAATCTCGGTAACAATCCTCTCGATTGGTGGTTCCAAGTGATCAATTGTTCAGTGCAGCCGGTCTTGTGTCACTAAGAAAACGCCTCATGGGAGAAAAGGCAGCAAAATTACTTTTTTGAAATATAATATGCCCCTTTTGAACTTTGACTACTAGATTAAAAGCTGTATAGGTTAAGCACAAGTAATAAAAACGAATACTTAAGTTGATTATAGCTATTTTAATGTTATTCCTAACATTCGCATTCGCAAATTCGCATTCCGAAAATTCGCATGTATGTATGGGCACTGCTTAACGTGTTCACGTTTTTCCCTGATGTAATCGAATTTCCTTCAAAGGAGCACTGAACTAGTGCTAGACCATAATAGACTAGACCATACATACTAGACCATGCTAGACTAGACCATAATTTATACCTAAAAGATAGCTTTGAACCTGTCTTGAAATGAGCTATATACATAGCTGGCTGTTGCACTTGTCCAATGTAGAATTTGTCACGCTGTAAATTTGTATGGTTCTGGTCAGTTGATACGAGTCTTTTTGTGTTTGTGCAAAACAGAAATAAAATGAATGGAAACAGAAAGTCGCAGTAACTTCTGCATCGTTTATCAGTGTCCGCATGTACATACAGTCACTCACAGAAGTATTCGTAATCTAGTTTTTCACAATATTCAAAATGTTTTCCATCATACATCTTTTTCATTATCTCATTCTTGCAAACTTTGTACAAAAATCATAAAAATGAATCAACCTTAAAAAAATTTTCATCAAAATTTCAAACTTTTTATTCAGAATTCTTAGAAAAACTTTCGGTATGCAGTTTTGTAGCCCTTTCCATTTTAGTATAATTAAAGTGCAAGTTTAAGGCTGCTCAAAATTACTGCAGATTTTTTGTTTTTTTTTTTT